TAGAGGCTATTAGCCCAGGTATAATATCACTTTCTGAATATAAAGAACTCCTTAGAGTGAAATTGACTTTCAGCATCGGAGTGCCATTACAGGTACCCCATTTGCTCATCAATCATCTAGAAGATCTTGGTGAACCTTAGGACAATCTCGTCAAAACTCTGTCTAATCTCGCAAGAACACTATCAGCACAACAACTGTATCCACATTCTCCTTCTCTTCATCAACTTCCAGCTATCTCAACCGTGTGTGGTTAGGCTCAGCCCAGTTGGTGTTGGACTGATCAAGAATAATGAGTAATGACCGATCATTTAGGATGGGAAGTCGGAATTTTCAAGTCAACCTTGATTATTTCAACTTGTAATTCTTATAAATAATTTAGAGATGGCAAAACGGGTTAATCCACCTCAATCCGTCCAGCCCCACTTTCAATTTGCTAAAAATAAGACCGGCGGGTTAACCTTTGGCGAGTGAGTTAAAAATACCAACTCATCCCGTTTTGAGTTGGGTTGACAGATCCACCCACCTAAAAATAAAATATTAAAAAATATACAAATATATTAATATTAATCTTTTATGTCTAATCTTTAACATTTAAATATTTCTCAAGTATAAAAAAAGCATCAAACAATAAGTTAAAGAAAAAAGAATGATTTAAATCAATAATTTCATTTGAAGAAGGTTATACTTACCACTTTTTTTTTACAACCTCTTACAACCATATCTTAACACCGTTGATTTCCGCCAATCAACGGTGTTAAGATATGGTTATAAGAGGTTGTAAAATAAAGTTGTAAGTATAATCTTCCTCATTTCATTTAACATAACTATACAAATAAAATATTAAGATTAATTAATAAATTCAATGTCATTATATAACAAAATAATGACATCATACATATAAATATTTGCAAATGAACACACCATTACATCTTGTAACTAGAATTTCACAAGCATCAATTTTATTTGTATAGATACTAGCATTTAAATTCAAAAATAAACTTAAATTTCTTTTATTTTTTGATTTATCTAAATCAAAAGTAAATAAAAAATAATATTTGTAGTAATATAATAACATTATGACCCTACACGAAAAGATTTTGTACATAAAGGTATAATAACCTAATAAAAATATAATAACCTAATAGTCATTCATATAGACCAATCAAGTCATAATTTAATATTTAATGTATTTAAAAAAAAACCAAATTACAAACGGGTTGACCCGCGCCTCCCATAATCCATTTTAATCTGACCCGCATATAGATGAGTTATTCAAATTGTTGAAATACACAAGTAACACAACCTAACGGCCGTCTTGTTTTGGGAGTTGACGGATTATCCGTCAGATTTAACATATTTTGCCACCTCTAAAATAATTTAATAAATTTTGGTATACAAATATCAACATAAGTTTTAGTTTTTTTTACAAGGATAATCCAAAGAAACACCTCGAAAACGATGATGCCACCACATTACTTGACTAGTTCTAGTCATTAAACAATAAAAAAAGATTTTTTTAAATTTTTATTATTATTACTTTTTTTTAGAGAAGAAAATAAAAAAATAAAAAAATAAAAGAAAAAAATAAATATAATGAAAAAAAAAAGAATTAAAAAGAAAAAAAGTTGTTCCATTGCCGTTAATGGAACCACAATTAAAAAAGAATGACTAATCCTTATATGAACTTTTAAACTAGGAGAAGATTTGAGATATTGTAAATGAATTTTTCCATCTGTTAGTAAAATCAGCGCAAACTGAGCAGAATTTAATCTTGTGAGGACTTTTTTATTAAAAAAAAATAGTTAAACAAATTATGTTTTTTAGATGTTCATTAATACACATGATAGTTTATAATTGTTCAAATTAATTTTTTTCGGAAAAACTAAAGGATATTTAAAATAATAAAATAGACTTTTAAGAGAGGAATCATAATTGAAAGGAAAAAACTTTATTTTGTAAAAATAAATAAATAAAGAATTTGATATTTCTCATATAATAGGAGATAAAATTATATCCTATATATACATCAAAATATATGAGGTTTATGTGAAGTCATGTGAAAAGAAAAGAAAGAAAAAGAAAATATAGGTCTCATATATTTTTGGGTAAAGGATTTTTTCAGTTAATGGGAATAAATTATCACCGATAAGCTCAAAATGACATCGTTGTGGATGAAAATTAAGATATTTTTATAATTTTAATATATTGCAGGGTTATATTAGTCTTTATCATTATAAATTTTTAATCTTATAATCCCAAAATGACGTCGTTTTGAGCTCATTGGAGATAATTTTATCTCCAGTGAAGAAATACTTTTTCTTATATTTTTTTGTGTATAGAAGAGAATTTTATTTTTTATAACATTAGAAATATTAAATTGATATATAAATGAGAAAATTGCTAAGAGTAATGATGGACTATTTGTATTTAGTTTGGCGGATGAAAATTGTCAGATTTGTGATCAAAATGTCGCATTTTATCAAATTTTTTATCTAAATGTCACGCGAACAGTATTTTTTTGGATCTAGATCCTCTAATATGAAAAATTACATGATCATGTAATGTGAAAAATCATAACCATACAAAGGTAGATCAATGGTAATAAAGGAGGAGAGAGAAAATATATTAAAATAGGTAGTTACAAAATCATAATCGTTGATTTACCTTTGTATGGTTGTGATCTTCTCGCATGACCATGTCATGTTTTTTTCCACATTAGAGGATCCATTTCCGTATTTTTTACCAGGCTGCCACGTGTCATAATTCGCTATCACTGGTAGCGAATTTCATGGCCAATGATTTCGTGACACGTGGTTATATTGCAGATCAAATTTGCTACCAGTGGTACAGGGGCGGAGACAAGGGGAGGCTAGGGTGGGCGGCCGCCCCCTCCCCCCACCCCAAAAAAAAATTAAAGCAATTAAAGGCTAAACGTGGTACTATTACTACTGTTAAATGTGCTTCTTCTAGGTATTCTGGTTTGAGATCCAAGTTGAAATCTATCTCCACTTCACCTAATGTGTGTGTTATGTATAACCTTTTCTGCATTTTCTTTTTTATTTTCATATGCTATGTTTTGGTTAATAAAAGCTTTGGCCTTTTTGCCACCCTTTTGCTCTCTTTTTATTTGTATGATTGTGTTTCTCTTTGTGTAGTGGTTTTATATAGAGAAAATGAGTTTGCTCTAACTTAAAAGATTTACTTTTTTGGGCAATTTGGTTACCATTTTCTATTTAAAAAAAAAAAAATTGTAGTTAAAAGCATTGTTTTAGTTAAGACACTTTTTTTTTAATTATTGCTTTAAACTATTTTTTATGTTTGTTGAACCCGACCAACAATACTCTTTTTAGTCTTTGAAATGTTGTTAAATGTTAATATTTTGGTAAGAAATTACCTAAATGAGTTCCATAAAGGTATGAGGTCAAAAGGTAAAAATATTGATATTATGCAAGACAAAAAATTAATTTTCATCCCCCTCCCCTCTAATCCTGGCTCCGCGACTGCAGTGGTAGTGAATTATGACACGTCAGCTTTTTCATGTGAAAATGTGCTACGTGTCATAAAATTATTGGCGAACATAATATGCTACCAGTCGTAGCGAATTATGCTTACGTGGTAGTCTAGTAAAAAGTACTGTTCACGTGACATTTAGATAATTTTTTTGTCAAAAAATAACATTTTAGTCACTGTTCTAAAATTGTCTATGTATTTAAGTTTTAAAAGTTCACCAGTCACTATCATGTATTGGTGTCACTATTATATTTTAAAAAAAAAATTGAATGACCTTCTATATATTCTATTGACTTCTCATAAATGTGTGGAATTGTACACTTAGCATGCATGGAATTCAAAATGAATCATAAATTTCTCATGGACCCAGGCCGAAACAAGTCTGGTGTGTGGGCTAGTCCTGTGAACTCTATATTTGATTTTGTTAAAAATCAAGTCACATTACAGTATAAAAAAATACTTTATTTAATTGTTTGTCTAGGAGATGAAGTAAAACTAAAGCTAAGAAATTTTTTTTTTCACCATTTGCTTTTCCATATAAAATTGTTATGGAAAAATACCATGATGGGTGAAAAAAAAAAATTCTCATGTGATGAAAAAATTAACACACAGCATCAATAAAATCAACTCAATATTCTCATAAAAATTTTGACTTATCAAATATCTTTTAAAAACTTATCCGAAAAAAAAAATTCATCATATTTCTAAAAATTATTTTTTTCAGTAAAAAAATTCTCTCTACGACACCGCTTTAGGTGAGTCAGTTTCTTTGATAAGAGTCTTATCAAAGAAACTGACTCATAAGAGATATATCTAGTCGGAATAGGGTGCGGTCTACACTAACATCCCGGTATTGATATTTTAAAAATGATAAGAGAGAGGAGGCTGCAAGCAACATCGGTAATTAGCTTATTACATACGCACGTAACTTTCTTTTTATTTTTTATTTTTTTTAAATATTTCAATCGATTCATCGTCTTATGATTAGTCTAATTTGAAACATATCTCGGAATTAAGACTTTAAATCCTCCAAAAGCGATATTGGAAAAAATCAAAATCGAATATATGCTCTCACTCCATCTGCTCAATTATCTGATACTAACTGATCTACCATCATTTAGTTATACGCATGTGACTTGGACGGGAGTCATTTTAATAAATTAACTTAAATAAGGAAACAAAAAATAAGTGACGTTGAATTTGATTTCTGGGATAAATTTAGAAAATAGGAACGTTTCCGTCATGTTAGGCTGAATGACATAATGGACATCTCAGAGGTGTTGTTCCTTATTCAAAGCCATCGGTATTGTGATGATATACATATTTTGCAGGGAAATTTGATGAAATTCAAAGTCAATCGGCGTATATTGTAATGGAGTGATTGACGGGCAGAGAAGTCTTTTACATGTAGTGATCCAAGTCCTGCGAACTCTCTTACACTTTATGCCTATATATAGGTACTAATTGTGGAGCAAAATATACATGAGTTAGTTTATACTTCCATATAATCAATGTATACATTCTTCTCAAAAGGCAACACCGCCATGTCTGCTATATTGCTCCTTATTGGATTATTATCTTCCACTGGAGTACAATTTACCGGTCTATATATTTCTCTCTCTCTCTCTCAAAATAATTTAATTTACCAAAGTCGTAATTACTTGAGCTACCAAATTATATTACAAATGACCAACTATATAAGTATAGAAGTTCTCCTTTGGCTATAAGAATTTCTGCCTCTTTTCTTGCATTATTTTCCTTAAGAGCTTGAAAGAATTTACACTATAACCTCCAAGTTAGATACCCCTCAAACAAACAAAAAATGATATATCTATCTTTCTTGATTTTAAGTTCAACTATATATCATATATCCCTTTTAATGTTCCACTTTGTTGTCTCTTTTTAACTTCAACTTAATTAGCATCAGATGAATTTCTTCAACCTGTTATTTTTTTAATTATAATATAAATATGTATATGATATGTCTAGATTAACAATTTCAATCTCTTTCAGAATCACTAACTTTTGGTTCAACATTAATATATCATGTAGGTGCACAATCCGTGGGTGTCTGCTATGGATTAAATGGAAACAACTTACCAACTAAGCAAGCTGTGGTGGATTTATATAAATCAAAAGGAATTGGCAAAATGCGTATGTACGATCCAGATGAAGGAGTCCTTCAAGCCCTTAGAGGTTCAAACATAGAGGTGATCCTTGGTGTCTCTGATAAAAACAAGCTTCAAGATCTTACTAATGCTCGAGCTGCAACAGATTGGGTCAATAAGTATGTGAAAGCATACTCACCAAACGTCAAAATCAAGTACATTGCAGTTGGTAACGAGGTTCACCCAGGTGATGCTGCAGCAGGGTCTGTTCTTCCCGCAATAAAAAACATTCAGAAAGCAATTTCTTCAGCCAATTTACAAGGACAAATCAAGGTCTCCACCGCAATAGACACTACCTTACTAGGCAAGTCTTACCCACCAAAAGAGGGTGTTTTCAGTGATAGTGCGAGTCAATATATAAAGCCTATTATAAGCTTCCTAGCAAGCAACGGAGCACCACTTCTTGCAAACGTGTACCCTTATTTCTCCTATGTTAATAACCGACAAAGCATTGGTCTTGACTATGCTTTGTTTACTAAAAAAGGAGCAAACGAAGTTGGGTATCAAAACCTGTTTGATGCATTGTTGGATTCTGTGTATGCTGCTCTTGAGAAAGTAGGGGCACCAAATGTGAAGGTTGTTGTATCTGAGAGTGGTTGGCCATCTGAAGGTGGAACTGCAGCTACTGTTGATAACGCAGGAACTTACTATAAGAATCTGATTAATCACGCCAAGGGTGGCACTCCAAAGAGGCCTAATGGACCCATTGAGACTTATCTCTTTGCTATGTTTGATGAAAACCTGAAGCAGGGTCCAGAAATTGAGAGACACTTTGGTCTCTTCAGACCTGACAAATCACCTAAGTACCAACTCAGTTTCAACTGAAACATGTGATTACTGATTATAAACTCAGTGTGTCACTTACTTAGAATAAGGGTACCTCGTACCTATATGGTTTTAGTTTTACTCCAATAATGTACTACAAACTTTATATATGTTTCTAATAAAGGCGAATGATCTACGACTTTATATTAATTAATTATCCATGTTTTAAACATTTCCCACATTTGTGATTTTTGTTCTTTGATGCGAACATAGAAAAAAAAAATGTAAATATTGACGAGATTTAAGTGTATGAAAGAAATTCTGTTGAAAATGGTTTCGGATTTAGCATGTGGCCATATTTCATTTATATTTTGTTTTCTTCCGAGAATTGTCATATCATTACACCAAACCTTGTTGATCATAATTTAATAATTTAAATTTATTTTGTAATGAGATTTGATATTAAATAACTAAATCCACAAAATATATACAAAATAAATTTATAAAAATGAGTTCATATGAAGATTTTATTTATGGTAAACGGGTTATACAAAGAAATAAAACATTTTTTAATTTTTTTTTAAACGTAAGTCGTGTATTAAAGTATTATATGGTTAATTAATCAGCCATGGTTTTCCTTTGTATTTGCATAATTTCATTACCCTCGTCTGGGCATCATGAACACCTTAGCTGAGAACTCCATGTGTACTAGTTTCTCTAAAATGGATTTTTTTAGCCGCCACTAGTATCTTTTAAAAAAATATATTAAAATAGATGACAGTGGATGCATGTATTTGAGTATATTGGAGGACTTTTGTAAAATATTTAGAAGAAAAATCCCAAATAAGTGGGTTGGAATTTAGAAACCTCCAAGTTCCGATGGTATGAATCCAGAAAGAGCCATATTAGTTGCATAGACTTCCGAGAAGAAAACAAGGACTTTAATTTGTGACATTTCATAATTAGAACGTTTCTTTCATGTTAGGCTGACTATTACGCAGAATGGCCTCACCAGTAATAAATATTTTTGTTAGTATGTGCCCATCAATGAATTTTGTGAACATTTTTCACCGAAAAATGGTTGGAATTCAAAACAAATTCATGAACTTCTAATCAATGATTGACGTGTTTCAAAGCAATGTTATAAACACCATATCGACCAGGCCAGGTTAATTCAGAAGCCGACGAACCGGTTATATAATTGATTTGGTTTTTATATTGGATCGCCCATATAATGGAGTGGTGTGATCCGGCCAATATTTGTAAAATTAGTGACTCAGTTGGTTCAACTGATAATCCGACTCGGTTCATAAAAAAAAAATATTGATTTGTTCTCATCAATTGATGCCTCTTTTTTTTTTCACTCTCACACCTAAATGATTTGTTTTCTTTTTAAACACTTCAGTGATCTGTTGCTTATTGACTTACATAGGTTATGTATCTACAACATTAATATTATCTTGGTTTTGCAATATGCAAGAAATTTTAGTTTGATTTATAGTTAAAGATATCATCTAGTGAACCTAAAGTACCAGTATCACAAATATTATATATTTGATTGATCTTTGGTTAGATAGTGATGTATAATTTATTGTTTTTTATATTAAAATATTTGGAATTGGTATTATTGTTTTACAAATATTTGAATATATTTATAATTTTTTAATATTATTATATATTTACATATATTCACCGAGTCATATAATTGAATCAATAACCCAATACCTCAACATGTCAATAAGCGAGCGGGATTTAATAACATATTCGAATCTTTGTTATTGGGTTTGTACCATACCATGCAAATTGCAAAATATTGGTCTTCTTTGTGCATATAAATATCGGTTAGCCAATGGAAAAGCATATCAGTGTTTTGTGTTAAGATTTGGTTGACATTTTGGTATAATCCAATAATCCATCGATATATTCTTCAAAAGCAACACTGCAATGTCTGCCATATTTGATATTGCTGCTTGTGGAATGCTTGTACTATCGTCCATTTGTCCAGAATTTACAGGTCTTTCTGGCTCTCTCCCTCTCTAACTAACACACCTGGTATTTCTGTTCCACTACCCTTGGCGTGATTAATCAGATTCCTACAGTAAGTTCTTGTGTTATCAACGGTGGCTCCAGTTCCACCTTCAGTTGGCCACCCACTCTCACATTTGGTGGTGCCCCTATTTTGTGTGTATATATAAATAAGCTTTTCGTTTCTTAAGTTGTTTGAGATAACTATATCTCCGGCAACTAAATCATGACCGTACAAAGATTGATCAGTGTTGATAAAGAAAGAGAGAAAAAAAGGGAATCACAACCATTTAAAGGGGAATCACAACCATTCAAAGATGAATCAATTAATATAAAACAAAACGACGTAGTTTTGGAGTAACCGAATATAAATATATCTCAAGCGACTTGTAAACTACACTAAGTATGACTGGTCATACTTTAATCAAAGAGTATATAAGTGATTATAAACGGATCATTTCCTATATTTATAGGGTAATAGTTTTCTCATTTTACATGAGAAAATTTTCTCATGTTACACTCACAATACATGAGTGGGTCTCATCTTAATTTTTTTGTCTTCTCACCTTTTTGTGGACCCCACTCATATATTATTATATGTGTAGCATAGGAAAATTTTCTCATGTAAAATGAGAAAATTAATTCTCATATATATATATATATATATATATATATATATATATAGGTAGGATCATTTGACACTGGTGTCAAATTTGAAATTTGACACCTCATCTAAGAGCTATTAGATCAAAAAAGATCAATGGTGTCACATGCTTACAAATCAGAGCCGTTGATCTTTTCTGATCTAATGGCTCTCAGATGAGGTGTCAAATTTCAAATTTGACATTAATGTCAAAGAATCCTACCTCATATATATATATATATTTATATATATATATATATGAGTTAGAATTATTTTACACTGTATAAGTTACATTCTAAATGTTTATCGTTATAACGTTTCTTTTACGTTAGGCTAACTATGGCCTCACCAGTAATTAATATTTGAGTTAACTTTTTCTACAGTTACTTTAGATAAATTATTTGTAGTGCGCAATTTTAATTATATTTTACTGATAAGATATAATTATAATAATAAAGCTCTTTTTTTTCTCTCTCGTCAGACATTATCGGCTAACGTGGCGTAGAGAGAAAAACAATTTTACCATTATAACTATATCTTACGGCTAAGACATACTAAAAATTACGCGTCGGATAAAAGGTTATCTAAAATAACTTTAGAAACCTTTTCCCTTTATATTTTTGTTAGTATGTGGCCATCAATGAATTTTGTGAACGTTTTTCACCGAAAAATGGTTGGGATTCAAAACAAATTCATGAACTTCTAATCAATGATTGACGGGGTTCAAATTCTTTGTTATTGGGCTTGTACCATAGCATGCAAATTGCAAAATATTGGCCTTCTTTGTGCATAGAATTAAATATCGGCTAGCCAATGGAAACACATATCAGTGTTTTGTGTTAAGATTTGGTTGACATTTTGGTATAATCCAATAATCCATCGACATATTCTTCAAAAGCAACAGTGCAATGTCTGCCATATTGCTGCTTGTTGGAATGCTTGTACTATCGTCCATTTGCCCAGAATTTACAGTTCTTTCTTACTATAGGAATCTGATTAATCACGCCAAGGGTGGGACTCCAATGAGGCCTAATGGATCCGTTGAGACTTATCTCTTTGCTATGTCTGATGAAAACCAGAAGCAGGGTCCAGAAATTGAGAAGCACTTTGGTCTCTTCAGACATGATAAATCACCTAATACCAACTCAGTTTCAATTGAATCATGTGATTATTGATAATAAACTCAGTGTGTCGCCTAATTAGAATAAGGGTACCTCATACCTATATGGTTTTAGTTTCTACACCAATAATGTACTCTGCACTTGATATATGTTTCTAGTAAAGGATTATGATCTACAACTTTATATTAATTAATTATCCAAGTTTTAAACATTTTCCACATTTGTGATTTTTGTCATTTGATATGAACATAGAAAAAAATTGTAAATGTTGACGAGATTTACGTGTATGAAAGAAATTCTGTTGAAAATGGTTTCGGATTTAACATGTGGCCATACTTGATAGATTAATATCTCACAAATTAAATGAGATATTATGATAAACTAAAATAAAAAAATACCCTTTACATAAACTAAAAGGAAAGGCCCAAACCTTCGTTAGCGGCTTAGTTGCACTATGACAATATATCCCCAGAACTTCCAATACACGGACACGGCAAATTTTTAAAATTTTGCGTGTCGGACACGTGTCAACTCTTCGACACGTTCCGACACGTTTTTTGGACACGCAACGCGGTCAACGCTCGGATACGTTTTTTTTTTTTATTTTAATTTTATTTTATTAACTAAATAAAAAATAATAATTTATAAATTAATTTTTTCTGTTATGAAATATGATATGAAAAATTAACAAAGTAATTTTTTATTTATATTTATGTTATGAAATTTAAATATTTGATTAGTTATATGACTTATTATGGACTCTTATATGTATTAAATATAAATTATATTATATATATTAAAAATTTTATTTCATATCAAAACGTGTCCCAACGTGTTAAAATATGATATTTTTTAGAATTAACGTGTCGGCGTGTCGTGTCGTGTCTCGTGTCAGTGTCTGTGCATCATAGCCCATAACAACTTACATTGCAAGATAAACACTTATCTCACATATGCTTGGCTACCAAGTCAATAATACTTAGTCTAGAAGAAATCATCATTATGTGAATTAGTAGCTTATCAGCAGCTCAGACAAGTTGGCCACTTCTAAAAGCCAATAAGTCATTGGCAGCTCCAGCTTGTCACCACACCTATGAATCTAAAGGCTTACCTTTTAAGGAATAGCATGAGAAAGACAACACCTCTCAACCAATCAACATGAATGATACCTAATGAAAGGACGGTGATAAATAAGGCACACGACCACTATAAATATAGAGGCTATTAGCCCAGGTATAATATCACTTTCTGAATATAAAGAACTCCTTAGAGTGAAATTGACTTTCAGCATCGGAGTGCCATTACAGGTACCCCATTTGCTCATCAATCATCTAGAAGATCTTGGTGAACCTTAGGACAATCTCGTCAAAACTCTGTCTAATCTCGCAAGAACACTATCAGCACA